TTTTATTTTTGGATTTTTTGGGAGTAATTCTCATATTGGGCAAAAATCACGTGCTTACAGATATCATCTTCAGGCACTTCATTTTCAATTGATGAACACTATGATGATTGGATTCTTGTAGTTGGTTTACTGGAAGCCTTTCTCTTTTTGGTTTTGGAGCTTTGTGTCTAGCAACCTTATCTTGCAAAGGAAAATAACTAATTAATTACTTAACTGTGGTAAGGAAAAAACAAATATATTTTGAAACTATTTTATCTTTGGATGACCCCTACAATTATGGTTAATTTCACCACAGTTGTTGCACTGTATGACTGTTCATTTTCTTGATAAACTCCACAAACCTTTTCTATTGCTTGCCTCGTCAAGTTGTCTATTTCTTTTCACTTTGGGTCGACTAACTATTTCGACAAACTCTGGTGGGTCCATAGCTTGATCAAGATCAACTTTTTAGAATTTAGGACCCCTAACAGACTGTAACTTATGCTTATATGTTAGCATATAAGCATTTCAGCTATGCCACAAATTAATCGCAGTTAAAAGGTCAACTTATTTGAAAGTCATTGCCTTGATTACATGAGGGTAAGGTATGTCACTCAAGCCCCATAGTCTACATGTGCATCTTTTTTCCATAAATCACTAACATGTACTGCTATTTTCTTTATTCACAACTGCCTAAGCAAATGCATAAAAATGGTTCATACAAGTTTGTCCAATTGCCACCAATAATTGACCCTTGCAGTTTACCTTTAAAAAGGTACCATCCAAACCAATAAGTGGTATTAAATCATTTTTCCAACCCTCTTGAAGAGCTTGGAAGCAAGTGTACATTCTCAAAAATCTCCTTTTTCCTTCTTCAAGTGCATGTTACTTACAAAGTCAGTGCCTGGATTTGAATGTTTAATTTCCCGTCCATAAGCTTCTAACTTGTTATACTCATCTCTAAATCTATCTTCTAGTCTCTTAAGGGCCAATTTTTAGCCCTTTTTAGCTTATTTTTAGACACATTCAACTCAAAAGTATTCTCCAACTGCCCTCTCATATGCTTGACAGCATACTTAGGATTGTTCTACACATGCTTCTTGAAATACAAAGCTAAAGTTTTGTAACCAACTCTAAGATTGTCAAAACAGTCATCACATAGATATTTGAACTTTAATGTTTTAATTCTACAACTAGTTGTATTCTTATCCTTTGAAATAAGACACACAATTGGACAACCAATTTGACAAATGTATCTAACTCTAATTGTATCACTTTTTTGACTTTAAGCTTCTTTTTATTAGCTAAAGCAAAAAAAAACCCACTACATATCTTACTTCATTGATGTTCTTGAGGACATACCCAATGCCAACTCTCTATAATGTTTAAGCCCATTGGTCATAACTCTTCTTTTTTCTATGCCAATTCCATCAACGTCATCATTATTATTTTCACTACCTTCCAATTCTTCTAACATATCATCCACCAGGTCCATATTCACAATCAGTCCCAACATCAATATCAACAGGATATGATTCTATGTGATGGACAATATTTGGAGGAGATAAACTAAGATCATACTCATCAACTACAAAGAAATCAATCACCTTGAACTCCTTAGATAAGAGGAATTTAAGTACCTTAATTCCTTCTTGATTTTTTATCAAATAATACATACCAGAGGCACCAGTTACTAGCAACTGCTTAATAGTAGTAAACCCTAATTTGGAAGTGAATTCTTCACAGATGTCCTTATACGAAAGTAAATGTGCAGCACAACGAAGTAAAGTGCATAAGTTTTTTATTGTATACTAGTTCAGGTAAAATGACCTCATTGCCTCCATAATGGAATAAAATTTTAACTTCTTCAATCATCTTCAATTTGCATACGCGACAACAAAAAAAGGGAAAACACAAAGGGACCATTTCAGCATTGAAGACAACAATTCAAAAATAGAGTAAAAAAAAAACCATAAAAACCCAATACATTTATTTAGGGACCGTCAACCACTACAAACAACAATTTAATACATAAAGCAATATAGTTCAGAAAAGGAATTTAAAAACACTAAGAAGCAATCCAATTTTGAGATTGAATTAAAAATTCTAAAAAATTCACTCATTTTGGGAGCGTCAACCACCAATATATATATATATACACACACTACAATAAACAAGCATATAAAGACACAAAACAAGTGAATAAACTAATAAGATGGTCACGATATCAAGAAATGTTACATGACTCTCTATTTCCCCTTTTAACTACAAACATCTATCCCCGCGATTGAAATACAAATAAACCAACAAAAAAAACTTACCTTCAACAAAAAATTCACCCTTCGATCGGAGATGAATCAACGACTTCAAAACCCTAGTTGTTCGTTCATTTGGAGATTTTGTAGGAAGAGAATGTTAAAAGGTTAAATGGTGAAAAGAATGATGGGTTAGCTATTAATTAAGTGGGTTAGGTAAAGATTGGGGGTGAGGCAGGGGTACGGTATGGAAAAAAGGAGGGGTAAAAGTGATACAGTTGCCCACAAAAACAAAACTATTTATCCATGTTTATCCATTTGTTTTTCTACCCATAAACTAATTACATTTCTTACCCATAGCAGTTTTTGTGAGGAATTTTTTTTCTTTATTCTCCAATTCTTTTTTATTTCTATGCTTCTTTTCTTTTTTCCTTTTTTCTTTTATTTTATCCTTTTCTTTTTTCTCATTTTCTTCCTATTTTTTTTTATTTTTTCTCTTTTATTCATTTATTTTTGCCCAAATCGTATTATTGTTATTTTTATCATAACTTATTTCACACTCTAATTTGACTCCTTCTTTATTTTTTATTTTTATTATTTTTCTTTATTTCTTGTTCCTTTTTTAATTCCACGTGATTGCCATGCAAACCTTGATCTCCTTCCCTACAAATATTAGTACATACTCTACCATTAGCAGTAAGACCAACCAGTGATGGAGCAAGACAATATAATCTGCGGCCACTAAATCTCCATATATACTAGTTAGAATAGAAATGATATTAAAATATTGGAAAATGCAATAAAAATATAAGTAGAAAAAAAGACTTCTAGTACCACATGATACCAATATGGTATACAAGTATACCAACAGAGTATATGATTGCTCTAGAATATTGCTACAATTATCTGTGACTATACTGCTGTACCAAAACATTAAAGGATACAATAAAAGTATGAGAAATTTACATGCTCGCATTGCAAGCTAAATATTCACAAAGCAACTTGCTCATTCCATATACTAACAGGATATATAATTGTATGGGTCGTTCCAGCAATTGCCTATAATTATAAAAACTATTACATAATACACATAATCTATATCCATCAGCACAAAAATTTTCCAGCACTGCAAATCACGTTCATATAAATAATTTTAGAATAGAATTCACTTAAAAATACAGCCAAAACAACCCAAAAAAATGTTCAAACTGCCATAAGATACCAATATGGCATATATCTATACCAACATGGTATACAGTTTTACTGGTTAATTCCCGACAACTATATGACTATACTACTATTACATAACACACATGCATAAAGAGAAAAATAAAAAAATAATGTACCACATATTAATGTAATAAAGTATTTCAAGATATTGAACTATATTACTATTATTAAAAGAAAACCAAATACTGTACTAATAAATGCAACTAATACAACCAAAAAATGATTCAACTAGCATATGATACCAATATAGTATATAGTTATACTAATAGGGTATATAGTTGGAATGAATTGTATACCAAAATGGTATATTTGTATACTATTTGAGTATACAATACAAATTCGTCTTCTTCTCTTGTTCAACTATATTCCAACCCAAACTTCTAAAATCTACTACAAAATCTCCACCAAATTGACTAAAACTTTAGATACAACCTCCAATCAACTTTCCAAACAAACTCATATAGGATCAGATCAAAATAATTAAAAACTCAAACAAATCAAGTTATGAGTTTCAAGCTTCAAGGTCCTTCAATGGTGGATTTGAATTTTTGTACAATAAAGTCAACCCACCCATAATCACGGAAAAACGCAACAACAATTCACGAAAATCATGAATATCAGGTGATTTTTTTCGGCATCTGACTAATTAATTGCGGTAACTATTAAAATCATGAACACGATATAGGAGCAGAGGGTGGTAGAATAACTTGGAACAACTTGATAACCATTAGCATAATATTCAGGTGATGATGCGGTGACGCCAGGTGGAGCAACTGGCTGAGGAAACCGATCACAGGTTGATGTGGTGGGTAACTGGTAGGTGCTTGAAAAGTTCCATATTCAGGGGGAGGAGGCGGGTAAATAGTTTGGTCCCCATGGGTATGAGTAGTAAATAGTTTAGGTATGAGTATTTAAGGTAAATAGTTTGAATTTAATGGGTATAAAGTGAGATTTTCTCTATTTTTTTTAATCCATATAGTCTTTTTAATTAAGGAATATATAGTTTTAGATTTTTAAAATGAAAAATATTATTCCACGTGGATTTAAGAGTGATTTGCTAGTGATGGAGGACATATATGAGCCTATTTGTTTCTATTTCACACAGTAAAGGGTAATTATTTTCCGTTCTATTTATAACCACAACAAACAAAAATAGAAAAAAGTCGTCCAAAAGACATAACAGAGCAATGGCGTATATAGCACCAACAATGGGCGTCTCCCAAATTTCATCTTCCATATACAAGCTGGAACTCCCACTCAAGTCCCAGAATCCAAATTCCTTTTTCCTCAAAAGAACTAAGGTAACTCATAAAAAATTCAATCTTGTTAATAAAGCAAGCAGCATCGATGGGTCCACTCCAGCTCCAGGTCTTTACTCAGCCAAGCAATTCGAGCTGACTCCTGAAAACGTGGATTTGGTTCTTGAAGATGTTCGCCCTTATCTCATTTCTGATGGTGGAAACGTCGATGTCGTTTCTGTCGAAGACGGCGTCGTTTCCCTCCAGCTTCAAGGTTAGCTTTTTATACTATTGATACCTGATTTCTTTATTGTACTTTAATATTAATCCATCCCATTATATATGAGTTTAAGTTATATACACCGTCACTAATGTAAGGAATTTTTATACCATCAGGTCACCTTTACTTGTTGCAACGTGTAGATATCCTTTGGCTGATATGATAGTGGACTAAACTTAAACTCTTTAACTAATAGTATTAGATTAAATAGTTCATGAATAAAATTATTGGAAGTGTGAACATGGTATAGAAATGTAATGTTATCAAGTTTCATACCAATTGGGACGAAGAGGTACCATGTTCATGTACATATTGTTGCATGATGCAATAGCTTCTCAGTTATACTGGTGATAACAGGCCGGTATTGTAAAAGAACTACCTGTGATCAGGATGAGGTTTAAGGTTATCGTATTATTGTCTTAGTCAACTCTAGAAGTTGAGTGTCTAACTTGTAAGACAAAAAACCAGTGTCAGCAGGAGCAATGATTCAGTCCAAAGAATTCATTAGTGAATTGAGGAGCGTTTATTGGCAGCAAGTTGTTGTCTTTGTGAGCCAGAGTCCGGAACCCAATTATTGGGTTTTTGGACAAGTGTGACGTTAATAGGTTAAAAAAATAAAGAGTTACCAAAGTATATATAACGCGGTTATAAACCGCGCTATACTTTAACNACAAGTGTGACGATAATAAGTTAAAAAAACAAAGAGTTACAAAAGTATATATAACGCAATTATAAACCGCGTTATACTTTAACGGTGTTTTATCCGTTAAAGTATAGCGCGGTTTATAACCGCGTTAAAGGTATAGCGCACAGATTTTATGTATAGCGCATATATTAACCACGNATTGTGTTGTTGTGGTTTCACTGTTTCGGACTCAAATTTTCAACTAATTCACTTTCCGAAAATCGTAAATCGAGGTATTCCGATTTAGTTTATGTCGAAACTCGTATAATAAAGCATATTAGTTGACTTGAATGTGTTTCCATGTCGTTTTGTATTTTGTTTGCGAAACTAGTATGTTATATTTATCCGGACTTAGATATTAGTGTTCTAAAAAAATATGTAAAAATTGAGAAATCATTTTTTCCTGTTAATAAAAATGTTAATTAATATCTTTTACGGTTTTATATGTATTTTCGTGAATGTTATGTGATTAAAATGTATTTGTTATTTATATTTAGTTGAGATTATTTATTAGCGTAGTACAATGTAGAGCCTTTTATCGTAGTAAACTGTAGAGTCTTTTAGCGTAGTAAAATATAGAGTATTTTAGCGTAAAATCCATGTAGTTTAAGTATCTCTTATACTGATAGATGAAATACAAACTCTGTCCAATTTATAAAAATTAATTATTTAATTTAAAAAACAAACACACAAAGGAATGAAAATATTAAAATTGACGCACATAAGAATTCATGATAGGTTGATGCTACTGGACCTCAAATATCGAGCCTGGAACCCATAGGTATATACTCTGTCCAATTTATAAAAATTAATAATTTAATTTATAAAATAAACACACAAAATTATAAAAATATTGAAATTGACACACATAAGAATCCATGATAGTTTGGTGCTACTGTGCCTTAAATATCGAGCCTGGAACCCATAGGTATATATTCTGTCGTGGGAAAGAAGAAGGAATTTAAAAAATAGGTTATAGCGCGGTTAATATATACGCTATACATATATAGCGCGGAATAACTGTGCGCTAATATATATAACGCAGTTATAAACCGCGCTATACTTTAACGGATAAAACACCGTTAAAGTATAGCGCGGTTTATTACCGCGTTGTATATACTTTGGTAACTCCTTTTTTTGACATATTAACGTCACACTTGTCCAAAAACCTAATAATTGGGTTCCGGACTCGTTTGAGATCAAGTTCAAAATTGTTAAAATTTCTTTTGGATTGCAAGTCTGCAGCAAAATAGAGCAATGGCAGCGATACTTTTGGGGTGTGTTTGTTTTTCTTGGTGATACTTTAAGCAGAAGACTCCACTGATGGATATTGCTGGACTTACTTTGATATGAAGACGGAATGTCAGAATGAGGCAAAAGGACCATATCTTCAAGAAGTTATTTGATTCTATCCATCATAATGCATCACAGAGCGCTACAGGACTTGGCAATCATGGTGGGCCAACTTGGCAATCATGGTAGGCCAAATGGTTGGCTATCTGAACTTCCACCATGTTGGTGCGAGTTCGATTCCCCGCCTTGTAATCCCCACAGAGCCACTACAAGACTTAGTTGCCAATGGACATTAGGAGTAGATGATGATGATGACAGATTGTGATGTTCGTCTTGGACATGCCTCGGGCATCTGGCAAAGATGCGTCTAGCGTAACACATGAAGTTATGTGCTGATGCTACCTAGTATCTTGTTGCGATCAACAGTACACAATGAGTCTATTCAGGGTAGTTTGGGGAGTTATGTTCTGCCTGCCAGGGTTGTGAGGGGTTAGTAAGTTAATTTGAACACTGTAGGAGGATGGTGTAATGCATAATATATGATGCTACATCTCCTAGTAAATGGCAAAGTACTCCCGAAGGCTGTGGTCCCACTGCTCTCTTGAATGTACGCAGCAAGGATTGGGGAAAAAGGTACTTGTATCCTGATTCTGTAGTCTTGGTTTTGACTAAGCACAGGGATTAGAGTTGGCATTATGTGTGCTCCAGAAAGATGGACCCAAGAAACTAGGGTCAAGAGTTTAGTTTGAGATTTAATAAAATAAGCAAGTCTCATCTGAATCTTTGACTTTGTATACTCACCATTTTAAAGGAGGAACTGCAGTTTCTGTTACCTTCAAAAAAAAAAAGGAGGAGGAACTGCAGTTGGAAGCACCAAAATATGCTGTACTTATAAGGTCACCACTCCTTACTACTTGGATTAGATGTAGTTTGTTTTCGGTAAAATATTTAATAAGTCGGATGATGTTGAGTTTTCCCACTAGAGGACTGCAAATGAGTCTCCGAGGGTCAACAGTTCCAAGCCAGCCTAAGTCTGCAGAAACTTTTTATGCAAATAATGTAAGCCAAATGGAGTTCATTGAATACTGGACATTTATACTGGTGAATGACCAACTTTTCTCTTTTATTTCTGTTGACCACTTCCAAAGCCTACACATACTGAAGTAGCCCCATAAACAAGAAAAATGATAGGATAAGAGATCTGTATTTCCTCGTGCCTCTCATTTCCTAGTATACTTCACTGGAGTGACTAATCTAAAGCACTAAAAATTATAAATAAGAGAAGATTGAAATATTTGTTTATAGATAACGTTTCTATTTTTCCTTCTTGTTTTTAAAGTATATTATTCTATTAGCATATATGGTTATTGTTTTTATTGAAGGCATAATTAGTAAATAATCCCCTCTTCCCTTCACGAAAAAGAAAAATTGTTCCCAAGTGCTTCGCCCATTAAAAAGAAAGTTAGGACCACACTTGAGGGATTGTTGCAGACTTAAATAAATAAATAAAAGTGTCATCTCTCTAACAATTTAAAATTTACAATGGTTACAATTCTATAATATCAAGTTTCCAACTTTTGACAAAACTTTAAAGATAGGAAAATTGTAACAAAGGGGTAATGTTCTAAAATTCATGCGAAAGACCGAGAGTATGGAGGAAGGTTAAAATTGCTACATTTAAATAAAATAGAAGAAGAAGAAGATGGACAATTTCTATTCAAGTCATGAAATCACTATTCATGGTTCGGACCTAAAAGCGATATTCATCTATATACAAATAGGGGTGTACATGGACCGGGTTGGTTTGGTTTTTATCAAAACCAAACCAAACCAACTATATCGGTTTGGATTGGTTCGGTTTTGTCGGGTTTTTGGGCTTTTTTGTTACATGAATATTATTTCAATCTTACTTTGTTAAAATTATAGATAAAGCTTTGATAAGTGAATATATGTTTAGTAAATATGGAAAAAAATTAACAAACATATGATCTATTAAAATATTCTAATGGGAGATTTTAGTAATACATGATAGTTATTTTCTTAGTCGTCTAACAATAATTTTTCGTTAATTTACGCTTTCAAGGTTAATACATGGGAGGATCCCAAATATTTCTACATTTTCTAAAGAAAATTCACTATAAAGTCTTAAAAATATAAATAAAATTTATATATTTATATGTCGGTTTGATTCGGATTTTTTTACTCAATACCAAACCAAGTCAAACCAAACCTAGTCGGGTTTTTATTCAATTTGGTTTGGTTTTTCGATTTGGTACGGTTTTCCGGTTCGGTTTGAACACCCCTAATACCAAATNGGCAGGGAGAGAGAGAGACAGAATCAGAAGATTCAGTACATGCCAATAGATTTGAATCATGAATTGCATCTTTTAAACTATTTCTTATGAATGAGCAATTGTTGTTTAATGGAGTAAGGAAAGAGGTGCCATTTGGTGTGTGCTGCTAGGGTGAGAGGGGTAATGGTGGCCCCCATTTGGAACAAGTTAGTGTTCAACGAAATCTAAAAAAGAAACGTTGTTTGTCAACCACCATAATATCTCTTAAATGCGCTCAGGGTAGCTTGAAAAATTTCTGATACATGTATGATGATCTTTTGAGTCTTGATTTATAGAAACATTACTTATTTAATTATGGAATGCTTATTGTTTCGTACACAATGAATATAGGAGCATGCGAGAGTTGTCCTAGCTCAACAACCACAATGAAGATGGGGATTGAAAGGGTACTCAAGGAAAAATTTGGAGAAGCCATCAAGGATATTCGCCAAGTATATGATGAACGTGTAGTTGAAACCACCGTTGAGGTGAATATTTTCAAAATCAGTTGCAAATTGATGCTATTGCAATTCAAATGGCTTAAAAAATGTCTAACTAAGAACTCATATTCCTGCAGGCTGTGAATGCTCACCTCGATATATTAAGACCTGCCATTAAGAATTTTGGTGGCAGTGTGGAAGTTTTATCTGTCGAGGAAGGCAATTGCAATGTGAAGTATGTAGGGCCTGACTCTATTGGATCAGGAATCAAAGCAGCAATTAAAGAGAAGTTCCCAGATATTGTCAATGTAGTGTTTACTGCCTAGCTTGCTGCGCGACAGGATTTTGTGAAGTTCTTTTGACATGTTTGAGGTTAGAAACCAACGCTATTGTCTTTTATGTAGGAGAGATGAATAGTCACAACCATTTCGAGCAACTTATTCACTATGTAAAGAGATAACCAATAACGAAGTGGCCAAGTTTCTTACCGCCTTCACTATTCTGTATTGATATGACAAGATTGTGAGAAGCAACATCTTTACAATACATTTATGCTCTCCAAATTAATGTATGTCATGGAATGAGGGTCAATTGTGCAGAACAACTGAACTTCCTCTTCAACTTGATCTGGTATCCTCTTAAAATTAGTTGGCATAATGATCTAAGCAGACAGCCGACATGAAAGGTTAATCAAAAGGGGTGAAGATGAAATAGCAAGTGATTGTCCAAGTGATTAAAAAGGTTGGAAAGTTTAAGTGCAACGCAACATGTTCTAAGTTATCAGGAGGAATGGTAGAGTTTTGCTTGCCATCCCAACACATTTACCTGGCTACTGATCTCTATGGTTGCTTGGGCATAATAACACTGGTTGAACCATCTGACATTAACCCTTTCATGAGTACACCACTATAGGTTAGCTATTTAGTTCACAACCCACCCACTCCGTGCAACCCAGATAAAAGTGATTAAGCATGAAAGATATCCTGCAAAATAAAGCTGCTATACTTCACTCTTTTTTTCTTTTTCTTTAAATCCCTTGATGTACGCATATGCTTTTGTTGTCGTCAGGAATATATATCATCCTACTGCTTTCCAGCTCTCTTTCTGGACAAGGAGCAAAAAAATTGTCTGTGCATAACCGAAAATTGATGAAATTCTTTCTTGTAGTTAACAAGCACGGAGAACCTACTGCAAATTTGAGTGTAGAAACTAAATCAGGTCTGGGACACATGTAAATACAGTACTATCTACTTTTACATCCATCAAATACAAGAACCATATACAAATAGGAAAAGAAGATAATCCAAAAAAGAGAAACAGCAGCACCATAACTATTATGATTCGTGATGAGGGCCCAAAGAAGCAGATCGCTTGCCCTTTTCACTTTCAGCTTCTATGCAGCGCCAATTCATGTCTGTCCATTCCAGTAAGCAACTTAAACGCAACTAAACCACAACTACTTCGATGTGTTAATACAAAAAAAAAAAAAAA